ATTTAGCGTCAGCACGCTGTGACAGATGTTCCGCATTGAATCACCGTTATTGATATTTACTTTCGGCGAGTTCGGGAATAGTCGTTGTTATTTCGCTTGCCTACATCAATATAATTCGCTCAGCGAGCATGTCGTCCCAAAATGCCATCTATAAATATCTCATGCGTATTTTGCGTACGCGTAGTAAAATATTCAACACGCGGTGAAATATTTCTAACGGGATCCACACGGACTAGCGACTACCGGGTAGTCTTTACAAGAAGGAGGTTTTACCGAAAGATGGAGTTAATTAAAACTTCCGTCCCCGGGACGAGGGTTAAACTTTAAAGTGGGATAATTAATTTATATGTGTAACGTGCCGCTGACGTTGCACTGATATTCATTAATATAGTACGCGGCAATACTGATAGTGTCCTCACGCTCGTAACACACGCGCGATTTACGAGGAGTGTGTCAAGCCCTCAGGCGTGCCGTGCTCCCGTATGCTCATAAATCTATTTCGCATCTTCTTTCCAGGTCCAGGCATTCCATTCACCGTCCAACATCGAGACTCGTCGCCTCCGAAAATGTATCGGATAACGCGTCGTCTTCGTACTCGATGGCGAATCCCACGAATTATTCTATCATAAGACAGCATACCGACGATGCCAGCTGTACACTACATACCGCAAAGGCCGCTTGCGTGCAGGCACTGCTGTATTCGAAATACGATCGTAAGAGTGCCTCACAGAAGCAGCCTCAGAGGTTGGTCGATATCTCTCTCGCGTACAGTCTGCACAGGAAGCCAGGTCGGAACGTACGTCATCCCACGTTCGGCGCAAGTGAAAATTTCCTTCGTCTCGCTCTTTCGCCCCCTTGCAACCTGTCTATCATTTCCCGCATTTCCAGCTTATCTTGCACAACCCCAATTGATGATCATGCATTGTACATCGTTAAATCCATAGCATCAAATTTAACTTGTAATTTAAATGTAAGTCGCCACTGCTCCTACTAAATATATTATTATTTTTTTACTAAAATAATTAAATTTGACGTTAGAGATTTAATAATGTATTTATATTTCAACTCCGGAATCCTACTCGTACTTTTCATTACTCTGGATGAAAATTCATCTATTAAGTAAGAATTTTTTACATTTTTTTAATGTCTACTTTATAGATGCAAAATGTTAGAATAATTGAGAACTAACTATTATGTAAATAACATTAAATAATTCTATTAAATGTTATTTCAGAAATTGTCAAAATTTTATTAACAAAACTATACTAAACTTAAAAAACACATGAGTGAAAATCCACTTACAAAATTAAAGTTATGAAGTACAATGAAAAAAATGTACATTTTAATAAATATTTATTTGAGAATTGTACTAATAAGTATTTATTAAATGTAATAATAAGTATTTATTAAATGTAAACATACATTTATTTTTAGCACAAAAACCAATTTAATGAAACTTTTTTAGAATAAATATTTATTTACTGTAAATGTTTAGTTAGTACTATTAACAAAATATTATTAAAGTTTAATAAATAATATTTCTCTGTGTGTAATAAAGAACTTAGTGTAATAAAATTTAAAATAATCAAATTAATAAAAATAACATAATATATATTTTTCCACAAATGCAAAGTGTTGGTTAAACTTTAATGTACCGCCATTTATTATGTTATAATTCTTATATTCTGCTTATTCTAGAATCTCGTTGCATCCTTATTATTCATCCTTTTTAGATATTTAGATATCCGACTGTTATTCGAGTGAATAAATACATTATCGTTATATTCTATGCACCCTGATATTCTCCCGAAATTCTCGATAAAAGCCATCCTAGGAGCCACGTCGGAACGAATCATCTGTGAGTATCGGGCAACGAGATTAAGTCTGACGCCCACTTTCCGATGTTGTCTCGTATAATGAGATCGTCTTGGGGACGAGATTACCTCCAACGTTAATCAGATTACGATCCGCGCCTTAGTACGTAACGTTTAGCTTAGCAAGTTGTGCTTATATCCATTTTAGTTTACGGCGCGGGTATTAAAAATCATTCGCTCAGACACTCGGCGAATGCTCTTTACAGTGGTATTAAAGCGAACGTAAGTAAATTATCGTTATCCATAGAAATAACATACCGGAGAAAATCCGGATTAAGTGGAAACAGCACTTAATGGCTCAGTCAGTGAATCTGTCCGCGGCTGGTCCGGCTTTTAGAGTGGTTCTCTTTAAATTAAACCCGACATTCGCGTTATTTCTCCTATTTACGTTTCATCGTGAATTACACCGGGTATATTCGGTACACGTTAACACGCAATGTTTCGCTGCCCTTTAAGCGTAAGGTAGTATACCGATAACGATGTCGCTGATTATAACGATATCAAACGCTTTGATCGGAGACATACAAACTAAGCGTCGAAGTAGTTAGAGATGTACAACGCGGACGCCGCAGTAGTATAACATATCCGCTACGGCAGCCAGAAGACATGCACGGCATTTTCGAACGGCGTTTACTGTAATTTCACACCGTGCCGCAACATCGCGGATATAACACGATACGCTGCGCCATAACATTATTTTATGCATTATTACATTAGGTAAGCATTTGCGATACAATAATAAACTTTACGATTGCACTGCGCCTGGCGTGGAACGATAAATCCGACGTAACGTCGTATTACGTAAAATCACGTTACATTTCCATTAAATTGTGTAATACCGCGTGCTCCGCCACTTATATCGAAGCGCTCGTACTTACGTATCTACAAACGACGAGCGATGCCTGATAAAATCGTATTAGAGAGGCAGCCGCGTTCCGGCGGTGCCTTTCCGCGCGCAGTATCGACGTGCGGCGTCTTATCAGGTCGCATGGCGTCTTATCGAGGTCGTATACGGGCACACGAAGGACGCTGACTTTTGCGGACGATTGTATCTCACTCGAGTTGGAGTTACGTTGAAGTGGCCCGCCTGGATATTAGGTAGCGAGCCCTCGACGTAAAAAGCCATTCCTTCTTTCCCCTCAAACGCCGACACATACGTCGCGCACATAAGCACTGTCGCTATTTTACGAAGCGGCAGGTGCTAGAATATCCCGCGAACGGTGTGGGATCCAGGGGATCTCGCTCTTTGCGACCTCCTTCACGCGCATTCACACAAAGACGCCGAGTCAGGGAGAAAAAAAATAAGAGAAATATATCTATTATTAGAAGTCCGACCTACTTAGCGTCTTTAATCCAATTTTTCCCAATCCTGTACACTAAAAGAAAAATGTTCGAAATTTCAATATTTGTTTAAATAGTGCCAGTTGAATATTTACTAAATGTAAACACATATTTATTTGATACAAGAATCATTAATTTAAATATTATATCTTTCATTTTGTTTTTTAAATATTTATTTTCGGTAAATAAATGTTATTATTGTACTATCACAAACAATTATTTAGTAAAATTTAGTACATTTTTCTCTCAGTGTAGAGACGAAAAAAGCGTATCACATAAAAGAATACATCCTGCGTAAGAGATTAAAGATTATTCTCGTATGTACATATCTGGCATCGAAAACCGAAGTGAAATTAATCGATTCGAGTTATTACACATGTTCTGGAACTATCTCTAGAGAAGCATTGTACGATGGTATGCGGATGGATGGATAGATTCATCTATTATGAATCGAGTAGAATTTCACAAACGCTGCAAATACGTAGAAATTATTTGAACCAGATAGATAGTCAAAACTTGACAGTGCACGATGTGACAGATGAGGAGGATGTCAAAATTTCACAGTACAAGAGTAAATACGTTAGAATAATGTAATTATATAATTAAAGAGGAACGGAATACGAGACTAGAATTTTTTCTAGAATTCTTTTCTTTATTTTACATTATTTCGCAGTAGTAATTCACAAATGATTCTGCGCGCATGTTTTAATGATGTGAATAACTGACCTCTTTTCTAGGAAAAGTTAACAATATTGAAAATTCTTAATTAATATTTTTAATTTCAAAAATACGCTTCAAAAGAATAATATTCTCTTATTAAAAATAACATTAAATATTATATCTAAATAGAAAAATGCCTTATTCGGTCTGACAATTAATTAGCATCTTAATGCCTAATAATATTTCGGTTTAACTTATACACCTATATACATTTTTAGTTCTATAAACTGTCGATTATTAATTTTCGGTCTTGAAATGCAATTAAACTGGAATAGTAATACTACAAATTAAATTGATATACAATTTAATGATAATAATGCTAACAAGCATATTTTAAAAACACCAAGAATTTACAATAAAATACTGTAAAAGATTAAATATTTAATATGTATATTAAAAGCAAAGTTAAATATATTAGTGTTATTTAACTAATCGTTCCTCAAATTATTACCTATATACGGTTTCATCGACCTACTAATATAGTGTTTTAGCGAGTAAGGCGGAGGAAGAGGGATCGGTGTGCTCGAGTACAAGTGCATCGTACTCGACGTTCGCGGAGCGGAAACCAAGATGTGCCCGTGTAATGTACGACCGTCCCAGCAAATGCATAGTTCCACGGCTGTCGGGGTCAAGCGGTATTCTCGGCGATGGCCTAGGAACTTCGTGCGTGAGGTACGAGCAGACACGATTTCCAGTCAAACGTACGCCTGGTATACATACTACGGAGCACATCGATAAAGGGAGAGATCGTGGCAAAGGCCACGCTAGTTGGTTCGGTTGCTCATGGCTATCACAGCATCGCGCCATAGAGCGGATTAGATGACCCCTTTGGCACGTTAATTGCGCGATATATATTTGCCGCGCGCGATATGTTCGCCTCATTAATGAATTCCCGTTTTGGTGATCGAATAATTACGCTTAACTAGACTACACTAGTTATTAGATGCGACGAGGAGACGTATATTCATGCGCGAATTACTAGGTGCACATGTAACGTACCTGCAGACACCCCCATCGTAATTGCGACTACATATTTGGGGATTTAATATCGAACGTTAAACGTACCCTTTGTACATGTCCAAATCCTTTTGCCGTTTAACATGAGTCATAGCAGACTCGGGCTGCATTTCGCTACATTTGAGCGAGAGCGCCTCTCTTCCTCTTAACGCTCAGCAATACGGTTGCATGTTAGAAAGTAGTCCTCTCGAGCGGGTAGAGTGTACGTTACGAGCGGAGGGCTTAATTGCATAATTGCATGTCTGAAATTGTGTGGGTGTATAATCCAGTAGCGCGCGTGCTTAGCGGGTCGACTCGAAAATATACTGAAACGGCAATGGGCGTGTACAGGCCGTTACATAGATTGCATCATTAGTACGTACAAATGGCTCATTTATCCGTGATCTTGTTCATAAAGGTCCCGATTGTCCCTGTATCTCTTGATTTCTCTCTTCCCCCCCTTCCCTCCCTGTTTTCTTTGGAAATTTTTAACGTCGGACGACACGCCACACGTCGATATAGATTACAGCGTCGATGGCAAACAGTTTATGGATCTATTGCGTGATTGAATAGCCACTTTAAAGTTACGCGCACTATACTGAAACGGGAGAAAGTTCCGAAAGAAAGTTTTCCCATCGTCTCTGGAATTTTTTTAGTAGAATAACTGTAAAAGAGATGCAACGCCTATGGAAGGCGTACGACGTGCTCGAGCTCGAACTTTTCGAATATCCTCGAGTGGGCACAGAGAAGAGATTCGTGAAAATCCCTCGGGAATAAAATATTATAATCCGAACGTAATATTAGGGAACGTTAAACGTATTGCAGATTTTATGTGCCTACGTGGGCTTTCCAATTAAGTCACAGACAGCAAATCTATTCGCGTGGAAATTAATTAGTGACAAGAGATTATTAAATGGGCATGGAAAAGAATTATGAATTTGCATTTTTGCAAGAACGCGGGAATAGTTCTATAAATTCTTCACGGTTTTAAATTTTATTTGTACTTGATTACGGAATAGATGTATGAAACACACGAACTTAACTAAAGTAACATGCATTTTTCTAGGATTTATGTAATTAATATCGCTTCTCATTCGAATTCTCGCGCAGCTGCATCGCTTTTATGTCACACGAATTGT